TTTAAGAAGATACTGATTGCCGCAGGGCAGCGTTTTGCCACGCATACACAACAGCCTCCCAATGCTTTTCTATGGAAAAGCATTGGATTGGCTAAGATTATAACATTTGATGATCTCAGCCAAGGAGGTTAAGTAGGGGTGGAGAAAACCGCTGCGGTCCTGCGCAGTGCTTTTTAAAGAGTTCCAAGGTACTAAACTGTGTTTTTTTAAATCCAATTTATATTTTTTATTTTAGCGAGGCAAAGTTAGACAAAGGACACAGGGCATTGTTGGCTACATTTTCAATGCAACATGAATATAATAGACAGTTGAAGCACAAATATCTTATTAGAACACAATGCATGTATATCTGACTGTCACGTAAATTAGTCAGCTAGAAGTTGCATTGTTTAATGTTGAAGTAATTAGGTAATGGTTGTTCTCCCAATGCTTAAGTATGGGAGGGAATGAGTTACCCTGGAGACTTGTAATATATCAGCTCAATCAACATCGTTATTACTGCTATGCTATTAGAGAGTAAGTTAGAGTTACTATCAAGAGAAATGAGAGTGTTAAAAACACAGTCTACCCTCCAGTCCCCCTTTGTCCCCCTAAATATAGTAAAATCATACCTTTACTCCAGTCTGCTGGTGCTGGCTCTGAACCTGATCTGCCTGCTTGGCTGACATCATCTGAAGTGTTGTTCTGAGCCAATCACAATGCTTACACATTGGATTACCTGAAGGGGCAGAGCCAGCAAAAGCCAAACACTGCCCTGGCCAATCATCATCTCCTCATTGATTCAATGCATCTCTATGAGGAAAGTTCAGGGTCTGCATGCAGAGGGTGGAGCCATTGAATGACAGTGTTGCATAGTGTGCAGCACTGCCACAGGAAGCAACTCTAGTAGCCATCTGAGGAGGGGCCAGTGGAGGTATCCCAAGGCTGTAATATAAACATTGCATTTTCTCTGAAAAGACAGTATATACTGCAAAATTCTGAAGGGAATTATACTCACCAGAACAAATACAATACGCTGTAGTTGTTCTGGTAACCATAGTGTCCCTTTAATTGTTGCATGTCTCAGCCATCTTGGGAAGGGCAGCAGGGTGTAGTGTTCTCATTTAATTATAACCATTGCAATGATGCAAAGCTGTTACGGTGCTTAGATTAACCCTTAAAAATCACAATTATCCCAACACCCCCTTCTAACATTGCCAGCGGCTCCACCGCATCACTGAAAGTTACGTAATAACCCACTCCTACTCTAGGACCCTTACAAAGCTTTAGGGTAGGCACCACTGGATGCCCACAGAAACCTATTTCCCACCCGGCCACCTGTGACCGAGTCATTGAGTATTAAAAACGAAAATTGACAGCACAGGTATGATGTCCGTGCCCCCAGTGAAGGGTATTGTTTATTAAGCGTGTATTGTTTTACAACACCTGCAAAGTTTATGCTTTCGCTGTATTAAGGCTTTCTACACTTGAACACGGTTTATGCTTAAATCGGAACATCCTGCCTTGTCATATGTTTTAATGTCAAACAAAAATAAAGAATTAAAAATTTTTTATCCCAAAGCTATCTTTACCCACGTTTACACCCGGAAAACTCTGATACATAAGCGTTATGAGTCAGACAGAGGCCATACAGCCACAAATACAAATACTCACAGCATGTGAGAGATGTATAAACATAGTAAAACAGTAGAGAGATTACCTACAAAAGAATGTTCATGTTGATTGTTTAAACCGTTTAGAACTGCCGTATAAAACACATTACTTCTCAATTAACATCATCAGGTGATAGTGCCAAAAACAGCGACTCTTCTTCACAATGTTATTCTCAGTGCAGTGGTGCTTTACGAAATGTTATTTTTCTTGGTTCTGCTTTTTTTCTTTTCTTTTTTAAATAATATCTCCTTGTACCAGCCCAGCAATGCCTGTGTGTTTTCAGTATATTCAAAACCCTGGTAATATTTATTTTACACTAATGTTGCCAGCAAAACTTCTAATGGTCACCTTGAAAGAGTTTCTGTAACGGTATGTTGTGTTGAAATATTTCTGCAATGAATCTGTACTTTCTGCCAAAGGGATCTGTACAGCAATACACAAACAGTGAGTATGGTACGTTAAATTTGCTTTACTCGCTTGTGGATTATTCTAACGTGATTCATGTGAAGACGTGAAAACACAAAGTTAAAAAGTGAAACTGAAAGTAGAGGTTACGTCTTGATTATTTATTACATAAAATTATATACTGCAAAAAAATTATCGTACTTGTGAGCTTGAAACTTCGTGTTGATGCTTGTAACAAAATTACAACTTTAAATTAATATAATTAAAAATATCACGGGGTCTTTAAATTCAAAATAAAGGAGAGGGCCGGTGCAAAGTGCATGATCACGCCTCCTTAAAAGGGGATTTCCTTTATACATTTGCTTTCTGTTTTAGAAAATTTCGAATAAAAAGCCTTAAGACAGATATGCTCCTTCAATGCAGAAAAAACGTGCCCTTGAACTGTAAGTAAAGTCTTCTTCTTCTTAACCCTTACATGTTATAAATTCTAATCTAGTGAATCAGATACTGTGACAATACTTTACATCTCAAACACGTGTAGTAGCGCAGTATGACAAGGTAATGCATGTGGTTAGTCTGAATCAAGCTAGAAAGTTAAATACTTTGTGATGGAAAGAGAAAGTAGGGGAGTTGATCATTGCGAACAAAACCACACAAGAATTTTGTAGAATTTACAAAATTGATATATTTTAGTGTGCAAAAAAAAAAAGAAATTATAAAAAAAAAAAACGTTCTTAATATATGTAAATGCATACCAGTTATTTGTATTCTCTTAATGATAGTGATGTTTGCTATTTGTAATATCAACATAGATCTTTTTGCATAGAATGTTTCTAGCGTGAAAAAAAAAAACAGTCTGCACAAATGTTTAAAATGAATAATGTCAGAAGTAAAAATAATTAGACCAATCGTGCAAAAAAAAAAAAAGTGTACAAATATTTAAAATTATTTTGCAAGCTGCCCTTAATAGCATTAAACAATGTCTATTAATGTAGTGCGATACAATGTTGAGGTTTAATATCGGCCACTTATTTGCACTGTGTAATGTAACATACTCTTCACAAATATCAGAATGGCATTCTACGCAGATCAGTTTCAATATATCTAAACGGAAAGCAGTACTGTCACCATCTAGGGACTTTGCAGAATTTGCAAACCGCCACAATGGTGACATCGCCACTGGGGGCCCGGTGGCCCGGGGTAGCAGGAAAAGGTGAGATTTACTAAGACTGCAGAGAGAGGTTTGTAGGGAAATAGAGCCGCATTTCATAACTGGCAAATGATTAGTTCCTAGGTAAATTTTTTGCGTTTTTAATTTATTTTTACGGATTATTAATCATGGTTTGTATTTCTGAAGGCTAGAGGGCAAAGAATGTGAATGCGGTAAAAAGCAAAACGCAAAGTGTGCAGAAAGCGTAGTTTCGCTATGTTTCATAGAATGAGATCAAACATATTCCTCTTTCTTTCTCACGTTTTATATACATTTAATGAGAAATGAAAAATTATGAAAAATAAAGTATTAAACAGTTATTATAAATATGGCACTCTAATTACCATAACCACTACAGTTTACAGTAGTCATTATGGTGCAGCAAACAGACACGGTCACCATTTTTATGCAAATTATTTGGAATAGTTTGACAAAAATGGAGGGTACGACACAAAGACTTTTTTTTTTTTTTTTAAATCAAAACCACTGCAATAAGCTGTAGTAGTTATAGTGTCTCATTTGTCCATTTAAAGCAGAGGGGCCACATGTTTTAAAAACTTAAACTTCCATGATCCTTTGTTATTCTAAAGGCATGCAAAGCATCATGGGAGTTGTACTCCTACAACATCTGGGGATCTACCTTTTGGGCGCCCCTGATTTAAAGGAACTGGCCATGGCTATGGCTGGTGGACAAGAGCAGGAGAAACAACCACAAAACAAATGATTATTTATATAGCACATTTATAATTACAGCTTTATAGGATGGATACCTTGCACCAAATTACTGACTGACAAAATGCATTTGACAGAAGCAAGAGGTACAGAAGTCCCTGCTAAAAATTAGCTTGCAATCTTGGAGGAAGTGGGATAAAGGAACAGAGAAAGAAGATTGTTATGTTAAATGGGAGCTGGGCTAGATAGATAAGATGTTGTGTCTAGTAAACCTAAAGAAAGTGGTCCGTAGGAGAAATGCAGAGTGAAGGAAAAAGTTCCCGCAAATGTGATAAGCGGAGGAACAGAGACACAATTGCTCCAGAAGACGATTTGCTTTGCTAAAAAGAAGAGTTTTAAGACTTCTTAATCAGAAACTCTAAGAATCTCCGAGGTAGGGCATGCCATTAGAATCAGTTAGCCCTCGATAAATCTCATAGGCGAAAATTATCAATTGAAGAATGAGCAGAGAACAAGAGATGGTCACTAGCATACAGCAAGGCTAAAGAAGGATTTTATTTGTGAAAAAGGAGTGGACTTGTTGAGCAGTTTGATTGTTAATGTACACAATCTGTTTAGGATCCTGAAGGATATGGGAAGCCAGAGCAAGTCCTGGCAAATGGGTGATGGGACAGGAGTAGTAAGGAAGAGGAGTAGTAAGGAAGATAAGCCAGGTGGCAGCATTCACAAGAGATATAGTTCAATAGGCAAGGCATGTATGATAAGTGTGTGAACAAGTGTCTTACAGGTATGTGGCATTACATAGGGGTGATTACTAGCAATGATTTTAAGGTGGAATTCATATGTGTAGGAGCCAGACTGAATGTGGAGAGAAAAGTTGAGATCAGAATCAGAAACACTAAGAAGGCAACGAGCTTGTAGGTTTGAAGTAATTGGGGGTCCATTGGCCTGCAGGAAATAGACAACAGAGATAGAGTATTTGAAGGAGGAAAGCCAAGAAGTTTAGTTTTGGAAAGACTGAGTTCTTGGAAGAGGGGATAGAAGAAAGGCAATTAGTGACTGTTTATAGAAGGGCCGGAGAGAGCTCAGAAGAGAAGGGACACATTGTCGTAAGGATATAATTGGTAGTGGATTCCAAAGACGCTAACCAGGTTACTAAAAGAATCAGTATGAAAAGAAAAGAAAAGGAGGTGAAGAATGCAGCTCTGTGGGATTCTAACAGAACACGAAACACTAAATGAGCATTTGGAGAGGTAGGTAAGAGAACTAAGAAAGGACAGTGTCAGAAAAAAAGACAAGTTGCTGAATGTTTAAAGACGTTGTGAGTGTTTAACAGTCAGCAGCTAAAAGGCTGAGGAGAATTCAAATAGACAAATGACATATAGAACGTTGTTAAAAGAAAAAGTAAGGTGTACAGAGTTAGGGTGAAGTTATGATAGGATTATTGGTTACAATAAAATGGGGAAGACACTAGAAGAGAGTGAGAGAATGAAGAAGTGTAGAAGCTACAGCAAGATATAGAATTTAGAGTAAAGAAAAAACAGTTGAAGTTGAGTTGTGGGAGGGAGGAGAGAAGAAATTAAATGTTATTCCCGATATGCTTAATCTTGTCAATAAAACAACCTTCAAAACCCTATGACTGTGAGGTTAGTGTGAGGATGGGTTGCAGCAGAGTGAAGGACTTATAGGTGTAGAAAAGCTGCTTGGGGTCATGAGAAGAAGTGGTAATGAGGGAGGTGAAATACAATCACCTGGAGGTAAAGAGGTGCCAATGTAACCTGCGGTACCAAGCACAGGCTGAAACTAGTATGCTCCTCTTTGAAAACATTTTTTCTTTCTGCATTCAACCACAAAAAAAAATCCAAACCAGGTGTAGGAATGTGAATGATGAACCATTACTGTGTCTACATTTAGACAAAAACAGATATGTCCAGTTGGTGATTCTTTCCAGGCTTGCCGTTTTATTCTACATTTTGCAGATCAGCTATCAATTAAAATACATATGGCTTGTTTCTATGCTTGGCAGTTAAAAGCAGTTGTAAAGCATTATATACACATTCTATAAACGTTTGCAGCTAAGATATGGTTTCCATGGTCAACACTTTTGTTTGAGACCTGCATGCCACATCCACTAATACTGACCACCAGTTAGTGTTTACTATTTTGCAAACTAAAAATAGATCAAGATCACCGGAACAAGTTACCAAATTTCACCGGCATTTATAAATTTACATAAATACATACATCATGCTCACAGATGGGCTTTAGTGCATAAATCTACCCACACATAGTTACGTAGGCTGAAAAGAGACATGCGCCCATCAAGGTCAGCCTTTCTCAAATCTGTTTTTGCTGTTGATCCAAAATAAGGCAAACAAACAAAACGTCTGAGATGCTTCCAACTTTGCAACAAACTAGGAAAACAATTCCTTCTTGACCCCGGAATGGCATCAGATAACTTAGGTTTTTGCAATTATTCATCGAATTGCCATTTTAAACATCTGTACAGGCTCTCATAATACCACCTCTTCAGGCAGACAATTCCACATCCTTCTTGTTCTTACTGTAAGAAAACCTGTCTTAGACTAAGTCTCCTTTCTTCCAGTTTAAATGAGTGACCTTGTGTCCTATGTATAATCCTGTTTATTCCAGAGAAAGGTTTGTATTGGCCCGAATATATTTGTATAATGTTATCACATCCCCTCCGAGACGCTGTTTTTCTAAACTAAAGAGGTTAAAATTTGTTAATCTTTCTTCATAACTAAAATGTTCCATTCCTTTTATTAAGTTTGTAGCTCACCTCTGCACCTTTTCTAGTGTCATAATATCCTTCTTTAGAACAGGTGCCCAAAATTGCACAGAATATTCAAGGTGTGGTCTTGCAATTTATAATGAAGCAAAATTGTATTTTCATCCCGAGAATTAATGCCCTTATTTATAGATGACGAGATCTTACTGGCCTTAGCAACTGCCAATTGCCATTGCACATTGTTGCATAGTTTTATTCTACATAACGGAATAAATGTGATGAGAGTTTGCGGTTATTAACTTGCATTTCCTTCTCACCTAGTAGAAACAGATGTAATTTTTAGTCAGATGTGTATGTGTTAATTTTTACCATCTAGCATGGAAACCAGGTGCATGACAACAATATTAACAATGACCGATTTGTCTCTAAAAGATTGGAACAAGCATTGAAACAACCCAACTATGTATACGTCTCATTCAAAACTTGCCCTATATTCCAAAGAAAAGTCCACTGATGGGTCTGTTGTCTTTGAGAACAGGAGCAGGATACATCTGGTGTACAACTATCCAGAGCTAGCAAGTATACACATGGAAATAGAACAAATCCAAAACCCGCTTGACTACATTGATTAAACCTTAGATCTATGGTGAATACATATTTTTTTTAAACCACTTCCTTAACAATAGCTATTTTAAGGAGCCCTACCTAAATGTTACTACAGTATTAAACAAATAAGACAGTCAAAGCTATGGGGAACGTTTGAGCTTACTGCCACCTTCAGATCTTCAGTTAGAACTTGTATTACATTCAACGGCCCATCGTATGTTGCCTCTAGAACAAAACGTATATTGACAAGACGTGCAAACTGTACAAATGCTATAACGGCTACTGATTGTGTTGCTGGGCTGGTCAACTGAAGACACACAAGCCAGATTGGTCTATAAAGACATTTGTGTTGGACAGTTTTTCACATAATATAAAATGTTAAAGGGTCTACAACATTCTCGTTCCAGCCATAAGAAGGGAGCCACCAAGATCCTCTGAAAAGTGGCTAAAATTAATAGGAAATGTTATTCAGGAGAGGATGTAGGGCATCCCATTGCTCACTCTTTGAAGAATATGGTTTGGAAATAGGCAATTGGATTTGCAGTATTAACTAGATAAGTATTAGGATTCTGGATGGATATTGGTTTTCTACTTTATGTAAAAAAAAATGTGTTGACTTTACCATCTTCCTACATATTTGACAGTGATAACATGGAAGAGCCAGATCTGCAAGAAGAAAGCCTCTTTTCCCAGCTCTTAGATCACTTTGTCCATCACGTCGAGTGGATGGTCACTGAAGCCAGGCTCTTCCTTCCCAATGTCGACATCAGTCACATCAAACAGGAATCCGATGACCTTGCAAAAGTGTCTGCAGTTCTCCAAAAGTTTAGAGAGTCGCACAGTGAGACATGGAAGAAGTTTATTCAGCATATTTGCATGGATGGCGACCTTCCAATGGAACTGGAGACGCAGCTACTGAGCTTAACAGGAGAAGGTCAGTTTTCCCCCCAATTTTGATAATCAAAGAATTAACCCTTTTTTCTGTATTTTGATTTGCATTCAAGATGTTTTGCAAGGAAAAATATCGTAATATCCCATGATCAACAAGCTTAGTAACAAGGATGTGTGGAAAAAGATTCCAGGTTTTGCCCTGTTCCTCTTTTGAGATTTCAATCTTACTGTTACATAGCCAATTAATACATTGCTAACATGTCAAGAGATGCCTTTAATACCGTTCACGCTTGTGTGGTTGTCCATGATGTGTGGCTTATTGTAGGACTGCACCAAGGAGGACTTCTAGTATTCTTCCTGAATGCTTTAGGGACAAATGTAAACACTGCCTTTTCTGAGAAAAATTTGACTTTACAATTGTGAGCTTGCAGGTGCAGCGGTTCTGTTGTGTAGAGCATCCCTTAACATATTCTACCTCAAGACTTGAAGAGGAAATTAAGTTCACATTAATGGTGCATGTCACTCGCTTTGGAATGAACTTTCTCCCTGCATTTACATCAGCATTTTTATTGCACAAGGAAAACTAGGGCTTTTTCATTTTACACGCACACACGTTAACTACACACACTAAAACACATTGTGTAGACCTCTAGAGCACTTATCCTGACACATGACTGCTAATATGAAATCCATTCAAAAATGTCCTACCATTCACCCAACCACAATAAGCTGCCATGGCTCCAGAATGTAAATAACACAGCCTTCTACAAGTGCCCCAAACATCTTAGACCATAAAATATCTCCTGCATGTTTTCTCCTCTTAGGATTCCTACATTCCTCAACCATTTTTGTTCCATTACTTAACATCTCTAGTGAACAGACATCACTAAGGCTTTAATACGGAGATGTTGGAGTGCTAATAATATGGAGAGAACTAGTGAACTATAAAGAAATTGGCTATTGGGAATTCACTCCCACTGCCCGTAATAACACTGCCCCACACAATACCTATACACTTTATCAGCACTTTGACAACTGACTACTGGTGCATTGCAGGTAAGGGCGGCCCATCATGTACCTGTTCTGTCAACATGAATGAGCAGCCTGTGGAGCACGCACTGTGCTTATGCTGGAAGCCTTGATGTGACACTAGCATCCGTATAGAGCTACAGGGAGCATGGCAGCCAGTGCAGAATCCCAGTAGCTCCCGCATTGGAGCCCAGGTATGAGGTTCTGTGCCATCTCTCTCTGTCAAATGAGGAAAAGGCAAGCTGGGTGGATCACACTGTAATCATTCCTAAAGAAAAAATTAAGTGTGTGTGATAATATTAATATGTATGTGTGTATGAATGTGTGTGCGTATGTGTATATGAATGTGAGCGTGTGTATGAATGTTACTAATTGCGTGTAAACACAGATATGTATGTATACGAGTACGTGCCTGTAATGTCCCTAACAAAACAGAGGTTTTGCCTGTTATGCTATTGACGGTACAATATTCTTGTTAGCAATTCTATTAACCCGGTTAGGTCATTCCCATGTACCATGGACATTCAAAACTAGAAAAATGCTTGTAACACTAATTGTCAACTGTTCATGTCACTCAAGTTTAACCATAACAAAGTATAAAGAAATACATGTAAGAAAAATCACACCCCCCCCCCATAATATTTAGTTAAAATGTGTTCTACATGTATACTATGGTATGCAGATTGCAAGTCATTTGTTTCTTGCAGTTCTTGGAGCAATTATATTTTATCAATTTAGAAATGGACAGAAAACTTACCGTTAATAAATAAAAAAATTATATATATATATTTATTTATTTCTGCTGAGAGTTAATCACTAAACAGAGATCTTTCATTAAACTTAACAATGATTTTCAATGCTCCACTTTTTCCAAACATAGCTATTTTGCCTTAACATTTGCAAATTACCGGTCAATTTTTTACCATGAATTCCTGGATTATGGGATCTGACTAGGTAGTTACCTCCCATTGTGTCAAACCTTAATCCCAGACTATGAATAGTCAGAAACAGTGTCCTGGATACTGATAAATGGATTTCTATTTTCTCTTTTCTGAAATATCTACGTAGAGGGTTTCCAAGAAAATGTATTCTAACAAGGTCATAGTATAACTTATAAACAGGTAATGCCCAATGATTAGTAACCTTTGTTAACACTACTAAAAACTTCCAATAAATATAGCACAATAAAATGTATGCTTGAACACGTCCGTAAAAAAAGAACATAAAGAAGCTAAATAAAAGGCATTTAATCTACTTTAAATGTAATAAATAATGCTCCAGTAGAACAGGAGAAAAGGACATACCCTGAAGAAAGCATTCATTTTTTGACATGTTTGAACAAATAATAATGTTAATAACGTTTCTTTCCCCACATGCAAGTAAAGAGTCTTTTAAATGTATTCCACTCTTCAAAAACATTGTGGAATTCTCACCAAATTATGCAGACACAAATCTTTCTGTAGTTTACTGTACCCGTTAACAACATGGAAAATAAGTGAATATTCCTCCCAACAGTCCCAGGTTTGATGGGATAGCCCAATATGCAGGGTCATCCCTTGATCACAAGACCAAGTCCACATAAATTACAATGCTAGTGGGTCAAACTGTACATAGTGGGTTCGCCCATGGAGAGGCCTGGGTGGAACCTGGGACAGCAATGAACAGCCACCCCTGAGTGTATTCACACCAGGCTCACAAGCCCTTTATTCAGATGTGACTTTTTATCGATGTCCTGTTTTCAGGTGGGACTGTCTCCTCTTATAAAAGCCTCATCATGGACATGTTCCCAATAGGCCCACAGCCTCATCCCAGTATTGAGAGGTACAGATTATACTCTGAAAGAGTTATGGTTTTAGCTAAAAAAAGAATTAACAAGAAAAAAAAAAAACCTCTTCCTCCTAACTCCATATTCCAAATACTAGACTATTCTCACAGGACACAACTCTAATCTTCTTGTTACAAAAATATTGCATCCCTAAAAACAATCTAGAAGAACTAATTAAGGCAGCTGGATGGCTTCTCCAACATGCTCATAGTGCCTCCTTAAATACAGCACACATTATTACCAAGGTCAAACCACGTAAACCAAACATACTGTAACGTCTCCAGGCACTGACAACATACTCCTTCCTCTAACAAAAGCCACTGTCTCAATTCATCGAAGTTTTGTTCAAATCAACTCTCATTAATCTAAGCCATCCAAAACACGCCAATCCCATTCTCTCTAAAAATTGACAGAAGTATGGCACAGAGCCTGTCTGGAAGATGTAATGGAAGATATTTGCTGGAGGATTCACGGTTATATTTAGAATAATTCTATTGGTTGAAAAAAATCGTGAAAAGCATATTCCAACATGGAATAAGGTAGCCAAGTTATTACTAAAACTAAGAGAATTTCTCAAATCAGCTTATTTTTTTGTGGCCACGATTTACAATTCAGTTTTCATTGTCATGCTGCTTGGTTATTCCAAGCAGCATGATCACGTCAGTCTGTATGTGCCACGTTTCGCTTTTAAACACGGCATATACTGAGATCTGGCACTTGAGTCTGGCAGTGTCTTTGAGGAATCAGCAGCCAGCTAGTGACTGTTATTGGCTGAGACTATCAGCCAATGAATGGCCACAACTGCAACTTCTGCAGGAGTTGTAGATTGTCACCAGACCAATAGGGAGCCTTGAGAGGACCCAGGTTATGGGGCAAGGCCAGGGTACACCTGGCACCATTACCACTACAGTAGGGTTGTTGTGGGTATTATGATTGGCGTAACCCTTTATGGAGATAATCCCTCCCAATTACAGATATTGGTTTAAATAATCCTTATTTGTAACATTGACTTAACGTCTATTTCAAAGATAGGATTGCACAGCTAAAAACGTTGACCTAGTATATAAACACCAGTTTTGACTGCAGTTTTTTTTCCCCCAGGGGTATGCAACAAATTTGAATTCTTTACATATACACAATTTAGTTGGTTTTTAATTTGTTGCCTTTTAAAAAAAACTAGTGGTTGAATACAAAGATTTGTAGCATTCCCCATTTTAAAATGCTATTCAAACAACCTGCGTTTTTGTATTTTAACTTTCCCGACAAAGGGCGTGCTTTGCCATCCTACAAAAGGAGGGATATAATGCTGTGGGACGGCATAGCATGCCTTAACGATTGGGCACTCACTCAAGCCCAAATGCTGCCAATGGGGGGGCGGCCCCCCTGTAGCCAATCCCGCCGATCCGAGTCATGGGATCACATGACTCAATTTGTCGTTATTGACAGATTCATTGTAGGGTGACTGCCTTGGTAGTCAGGCAGACCCCCAACTTATAATTAATAAAATCACTTAATTATATTAAAATAATAAATACACACTTAGAATGAATTTTTTTAAATTTTATATATATATATATATATATATATATATATATATATATACACACAATTTAATTCTAAGTGTATTTTAATATTAAAATATATGAACATCAAAACACACTCAGAATTAAATTATACTTTTGTCCGTCATTGTGTCATCGTGATGCGCATACATCCTTTTGTGGGTGGGCATATTGTCTGTGGCGCTTACTGCATAAAGGACACACCCATCTGACTGGACCCCCGCCCACAGAATCCCTCCCTCAATATTTCAACTAACAAAAGATAGATAGGTCTGATAACGCCAGGGATTTGCAGTTTTAATAAAAGCCCTTCTTCCATTTCCCGGACGTTCAGTGTAACAGAATAGACTTTGGCAAAGAAATTTGATTCTTTGTCGGATACAAACAGCACTGGAGTCTGGAGCATAGGTTTAAGAAGGGCTTAAAGCAGGGCTGCCCAACCTGCGGCCCCCCAGATGTTGCTGAACTACAACTCACATGATTCCCTGGCTGTTTCATTGAAAGAATCATGGGAGTTGTAGTTCAGCAACATCTGGAGGGCAGCAGGTTGGACAGCCCTGGCTTAATGAATGAGAGATTAGTTTACATTGCATCATTATCCTGTGAATTCAACGTGTCAAATGTGTATGAGGAAAGAAGATAGCTGAATGGATTTTTTTGCTCCAGAATCCAACTGTGTTATGTTAAAATTAGTAAAATAAAAATATATAATGCCCCACATTCAGTAAGAACTACCAGTAAAGAGTAATAAAAAAACCTAAAACAAACAAACCATAAATGACTAATTCCAATTCCTATAAATACCTTGATCCATTTTAACTGTTGTAACTGCAAAAAGCTCAAAGGGGCTCAGTTACAATGGGCAATATTGCTTGTCCCTGCTCCAAAACAGAACCAAAAGGAAACTGAAAACCTGTTTAAATACCTGTTTAGGGAATTTGGAAATTAATTTAGAACCTGTATTGATTTTAAAGTCATCCACTGAAAAGATCCAATAAATATAATCAAAGGTTTTGGTATCATCAAAAAAACATAGTTCTATTCAAAAGTCTTCTGATTACTTTGAGTAGTCAGGTATGAATTGGGATATACAGTAAAAGGTAAAGTAGATTTATTAATGTGTTTTAATACGATTCTGCATCGGTGCCTGCTCTAGATGGTTAATCAAATGAAAAAACTAAGAACAATTTTTTTGAAATTTTTTTTTAGGTGCAGAAGGAATTTCTTGGGAACGTTTCTTGGCTGGGGAATTTAAAGGTTCTTCAAGACGAAAGCTAGGTAACCCTCAGTAGAATGTCAAAAAAATATTGATCTAATTAATGCTGTACACACGGAATACCTTAATGAAATTTTTTTTTTTTTTTTTTTTACTAGTTTCAACAAATAGATACAAGAAGCAAATTGTTAACACTATATTGAAAAAATATGGATTTAGAGATAACAAAAAACCTGACCAGATGTTTGTTGACCCACTGATCCACACAATTAAGATGACTAAGGTGAAGCAGAGATCAAAAAGCGGCAACAAGATATTTTCAGCTGCAGAAGACATCACGGACAGTGTTAAAATGGCTCAGATGTTTCACCGAAGTAATCTCTCCAAAACACACACTATTTTATTGGTGGGAATGCCAGGCACAGGAAAGACTTTGCTGACACATAGGATTGCCCACGAATGGGCAGGTGGAGGTTTTGGTCAGTTTCAGTTAACATTTCTATTTGAATTCCGACAACTAAATTTGATCAAAACTCAATTTACCCTCAAAGAGCTTCTGTTCAACTTGTTTCTTAAGCCAGAAACAGATCTGGAGGAAGTATACGAGTACATCATTGAGAATCCGCAACAGGTCCTTATCATATTTGATGGCCTTGATGAGTTTGTCGGGAAGATGTCTCAAGACTTTCTCCAGATAAGCCAAGACTTGAAGCAAGTTGTTCCTATATCGGAAATGTTCCAAAATCTACTCCATGGGAAGGTCCTGAGTGGATGTACTGTTGTGGTCACAAGTAGATCTAAAATCTTGTTGATGATGAATGATCTTCTGGATTTGGTGGATTGTGTGGCTGAAGTCTTAGGATTCAATGAACAAAGGGTTCAGGAATACGTGAGATCTTTTTTTCCCGAGGGCTCACTCCAACAGCAGGCTTTGCTATACCTAAGAGACAACCATAAACTTATGCACATGTGCTTTGTACCTGCTTTATGTCACATTGTCTGCAAATGTTTAAAACATATGTTACCTATGCCCCCTGAAAACACACAGCTCCCACAGACTATCACACAGTTTTATCTAAAAATGCTGAATATTTTTATAAGAAAAAAACAAATGTCTTATGCTACTGAAGGTGTAGTGTTAAAAAGATTGATCTCCGAGCTTTGTAATCTTGCTTTCAATGGACTTAAAGAAAATAAGACCGTGTTTTATGATGAAGACATTTCAGATGCCTTAAAAAAATTTGCACCACATCATCACCTACTGTCCACCTTTGATGTAAAGAAAATGGACAGCAGCATAGACCCCGGATATTCCTTTGTACACTTAAGCTCTCAGGAATTTTTTGCTTCTTTATATCTGATGATGAGCAAGACTATAACACATAACAAGCTGAATACAAAGCTCTCTCTGAAATCAAAGTGGAATATGAAGTTTAAAACAAAAGAGGAATTCACAGACAATTTCCATATATTCCTATCGGGGTTGTCATCTACGGAATGTAGATCCTTTCTAGTTGAGTTGTCTGAAAATCAGAAAGTCTTGGTTGAGAAGAAGCAGGAGACCATCATGAAATACTTGCATAAAATGGCAGACACTAATCTTTCAGGGCCTAAACTAATTGAATTATGTCACTGTGTCTATGAAACTCAAGATACACACCTAGCTCGGTCGATCGGGTCACATCTGGAAAGATATGAGTTTAAAAATTTCAGGATTAATCCCGTTGACATGACTGCCTTGAGTTTTGTGGTTAGCTACGGGGACAATGTAGCTTCACTGGATTTTGGAGGATGCTCAATGGAGTTAGACTGCTTGGTGGTTCTGGAAAAATGTGAAAATATTCGTAGTCTCAGGTAAGGCTGTAATTTATAAACCTATATAAATAATTTAATAATGTATTTTGCCTCTCAATAGTGTAATTAACCATTGAAAGTAAACATCAAAGCCAAAGTCACTGATAACTATGGTTGTTTTTTTTTTCTACTAACTTCATATATGCAGTAATAAACTATTTAATAAAAAAATAAAAAAATAAATAAAAAAACAACGAAAAAAAAATAAGAAAACGTTAAAGGGCACCTATTGCTTCCCAGGTATTTTTAGCACTATGTTTACTTATCCTTACGTGTAAAAAAAAAAAAAAATGTATTTGTGAGTTGTGAAAATTAAAATCAAATGTAGAAATTCACACCTCTTTATCTTGTAACTGAGCGTCTCCATCTTAGCTTCCTGCCTGTCAGTGTTATAAGCTTTGTCCTTTGCACCTGGCTGTTTGCTTAGAGAACGCTTACATAGAAGGGGAAAAAAATGAATCCAGTTTCTTTTTCTCTTCTCCATTAACATTTGTGCTGCATTGTGATGTAAATTGCTAAATTGTTAATAAAAAAATGTACATCTCAATACAAAAACAAACAAAGACCAGCTATAGGTTATTTTCAATTTTTTATTCAATGGTATAAATTCCAGAGAATTGACCTTTTCTCTTTAAAGTGCAGTCAAAGCACCAAAACCCACTACAAGCACACCATAGTGGTTTTAGTGCCAGAAGTCTCCTGGTGCCCTCAAACAGTAAAGATTAAAATACATTTTGGACATTTTGATATTTCTATGGGTTCGGGAGTCTTTGTTGCGTTATATGATGTAAAAGTAGAAGTTCCCATTCTGTTTTAGATATATATCGATTTTATACTTATAAGGACATTATTCACGGAGAGTGTAGGCTGACATTCTTAGAGAAGACCAGATGGACCACAAGCTTCAAAGGGACCAGGCAAATGTCAAACCATTCAAAAATGATCCGGCTCCATAGAGTAAGATGGTACCAAGTGACAGCCTGCGCCATAACCAAAACAATGGTTGGAATTATAAGGTCGAATGTGCCACTGTAAAACCAAACTAAAGACTCTCCTTGTGAAAATGATCTTAAATCCCTTCACTCTCAGAATCGCATCTAACATTTTTAGGTACTATGCAAGAAAAAATTTAGTCCATAAAGCCCCACCCTGCTTCATACTACAGGAATGAATACCAGTATGTAAGGAATTAATTTCACTGCCAAAAACACTGGTTAATCGTTTAATGCCTGCAAGTGTTCTGAAAATATCAGCTCATCCTCTTCTTCCAAACAGTAAATGATTTTAAATGGGTCATATCATTCCTACAGAATAGAAGCAATGAATGGGCTCTACCGTTTCACTGTTAGCATTTTAGAGACTGAGAATGATTTCAAAAGCACTTTTAAATACCTTTATTTTAAAAATATAAGTTTCAACTGTATTTACTTTTTTCTGAGCTTTCTGCTCAAGTACAGACATTCTCTTTACATTTTGTTGCCATTTTAGTAAGCTGTACTGCCAGTAATGCCTCCAGGGTCCTTATAAATACTTATAAGCAGGTTTTTTGACTATTGTTATTTATGTTTTTGTCATACCTACTGTATGTGAGAAGTAGGTTATTTTTTTTAAATACAATTGTATTCGGAATATCAGATATTACAACATACACTGATGGCATACACCCTAGTTTCTAAACACGTGATACCCATACCCCAGCACCACAGGCAGGGGATACGCAAGGAGCTGGCTAATTGGCCACCTTAGCGTTCCTCAGGATGTGGATAGCTGAGATAGCATGGATGCAGTGAGGAAGCTGTACTATTCATGATCTTCCAGTACGGCTCCCTGTGGTGATACCCAGGGATGTGTCATGATGTCACTCTGACTCTGGCATCACTAAACAGCACATGGGGGTACAATGCTAGAAGAGTACAACGATTACACAAGCCCTACACTGGAACCCAGGGAAAGGATCCACTCCAGCTCTCCCAAAGGTAGGGAGGTTGGATGTACTTACTTAAATAAATATAAAAAAATAATCTGTGAGTGTGTGTCAGTGAATATCTGTCTGTCAGTATGTGTCAAAACTTTGTGGGTATGTGTCAGTGTGTGTCAACATTGATGGTGTGTCAGTGAGTGTGTGTCTGTCAGTGTGTTTTAAATCAGTAAAAGTGTGTGTCATCAGTGAGTATGTGTGTCAAATTAGTGTGTGTGCATGTCAGTGAATGTGTCAGTGAGTGTGCATGTCAGTTTCCTCTGTGTGTGTGTCAGTGTCCTCTGTATGTAACTGTTTGCGTGTCTATCAGTGAATGTTTGTGTCCGTCAGTATGGGTCAAATCACTCAAAGTGTGTGTCAGTGGATGTGTCTGTCAGTGTGTATCAAATCAGTGACTGTGTCCATCAGTGAATGGATCTGTCAGTGAGTATATCAAATCAGTCAAAATGTGTGTCTATTAGTGTGTGTCAAAACAGGTTGTGTTGTGTGTCTGTCAGTGAATGTGCGTGTATGTTTTAGTGAGTGTTTGTGCCAGTGTGTGTAAATTTGTGTCAGTCTCCTGTGTGTAAATATGTGTGTGTGTGTGTCAGTGTCCTCTGTGTGTTTCAGTGAATGTGTGTGTCTGTCAGTGTGTGTCAAATCATTGAAATTGTGTGACAGTGAGTCTGTCTATGTAGTTTAAATCAGTGAGTGTATCAGTCAGTGTGTCTGTGTGTCAAGCGAGTGAGTGTCAGTGTGTGTCAAATCAGTGAATGTGTGTGTGTGTGTGTGTCAGATCAGTGAGAGTGTATGTCAGTTTCCTCTGTGTGTACATTTGTGTGTCAGTGTTCTCTGTGTGTAAATGTATGTGTGTCAGTGTCCTCTGTGTGCAAATGTGTGTGTGTGTGTGTGTGTCAGTGCCCTGTGTGTGTAAATGTGTGTGTAGGTCAGTGTCCTCTGTAAATGGGGGTGTGTGCATCAGTCATATGTGTTTAAATGTGTGTCTTTCAGTCAATGTGTTTGTCTGTAAGTGTGTCAGTGTTTGTCAAATCAATAAGAGTGTGTTGGTCAGTGAGTGTCCTCTGTATGTAAATCTGTGTGTACGCATGTCAGTGTCCTTCATGTAATAATTATGTATCATATTTTCATTTTGTGACTTTTATATTTTAGTTTAATAGTTCATAGACTCATCCTTACACACACAATATTCTCATGATGTCATATTTATTTCAAAAATATTATTTACTACCTTTAATAAAGCGTGTTCTCTAATATGGGATTAACTAAAATATGCATGTCTACATGTTTCATTTGGAATTTAAATCAATAGAAATTACTTTCCCGAGACAGGCATCTTTTTTTAGACCCGCAGAGGTACTTCTCCGTAAAAGGTTGACAAACACTGGCATACATAATATGATGTGCATATAGAGAGCAAACAAGATCATAGGGTGTAGTAGAGTTTATCAATTGACACTCATTTTTAAAATCTTGAAATTCTAAAAGAAAAACCAATACATTTAGTTGTAAAAATGGACCACTTCCCTGCCCATCCACCCCATCCACTCCACTTTAAGGACCACTATAGTCACCCAGACCACTTCAGCTCAATGAAGTGGTCTGGGTGCCAGGTCCCCCAGGTTTTAACCCTGCAGCTGTAAACATAGCAGTTTCAGGGAAACTGCTATGTTTACATTGCAGGGTTAATCCAGCCTCTAGTGGCTGTCTTCCTGACAGCTGCTAGAGGTGCTTCCCCGACGCTCAATGCGAAAATCGCATTGAGCACGCAGAACGTCCATAGGAAAGCATTGAGAAATGCTTACCTATGGGCGTTTTTAATGCGCGCATTCGGCTCCACTTGGGAGCTGACGTCAGCAGTGCCAAGGGAGCCTGTGCTTGATAAAGGTAAGTGGCTGAAGGGGTTTTAACTCCTTCAGCCCAGCGGGAGGGGGGCCCTGAGGGTGTGGGGGGGGGGAGGGGGGAAACCTAAGGATTATATAGTGTCAGGAAAACAAGTTTGTATATCTATTATAATCCCATACTTGAAGCATGCACTGTTCCTACAAGCAAGTCAAACATCCTCACAAATTGTACCATAATGTTGAATGTCCTTAAATGCTTATCACAGGTTAACATTTGATTCAATGCTTTGCTATGAGAAGCATTCCATAGGACAAGCACGGCACTTGCCACACATGCACTTCTCATCCCCAATGCTTCTCTATGGTGAAGCATTGGATTGGACGAGAAGACAAGGATCAGACATCCTCTATAAAGATGACATTTCTCAGTGCTGGGGAAAAAACTAAGTAAAATTATTTTTTTTTTTAAATAAATGAAAAAAAAATGAAATAAGAGAATAAAAAAAATCAAGACATAATCTAGGCAGGAACAACTGTCTGGTCTGACAAGGAGGTTTTGCTACGAAGATTAGATAGGTAGACAGATAAATATATGAGAACATAAAAATTAAGGAATGGACCAAACTTTTATTTTTTTTAGTTTCAGGAACAAAAAATATGGAGATGCATTCGCACAAGCCCTTTCAAAATGTTTACGTAATATGAATTGCCTAAAGAATTTCAGGTATGTGTTCTTATCTTTCCTCCCTTTGTTGTCTAGTATCCTTGACCTTTCCACCCGAATGGTGGGAGGCTGATGGCAATTCATGCAGACTGCTCAAGTGGAACGTTACTTACCTAGAATACTGTCCGTCTACTTTAGTAGGCCTCACAGTTCATCTTCTCATTTTTGGTTGGACTTTTCCTCAAGTCCTGGTATATCTTCATAGTCTTGTTCTAGGACTGAGGTCCATCGGGTTTCCATTCCACCAAATATCCCATCATGATCTCTGGGTTAATCCACCAGCTCCCAAAGTTGTGCCCGCCATCCGCACCAATAATGGAGACTTTACATTTTTCTATGACCTCTCCAATCTTGTCCAATCTTGAGTATTACTGATAGGTTAAATCCATGGATTAATCCACCACCAGCGACTGCTTCCTAAATTAGACATCTTCAGAAAAAAAATGTGAAGTTCAGGAGGAGGAGAGCCCTGTGTCTTATTTATTTATTTTTAACTGCTTGAAAACAGTCCGAGAGAAAACCAAGGGATGCAAAAATTTATAGCACCACAGCAATTTACATATGTTGTAGTTATGGTGCCTAGATTACCACATTAATTAGAATGCCATTTATAACACAGGGGCAAAGCTTTAGAAGTATCAAATTAAGCATTTTATGTCAGACAGTTAAAAGATTTAGATTTTTTATCCTACAGTTCTACAAATAATCTTCTACAATCTGAATGTGTTTTAAATGTTTGTTCAAATATAATTTTCCATAACTGTATAGATTATACACACACACACACACACACACAGAAATCATGAATTTAAATTAACCTTTGTTTACTGAATTTTGAACCACTCTGCAAAGTCTGATGATTTCTCCAAATTATTTTCAGGTTGACGGCTGGAAGAATCACACATACAGCAATCGATGCACTGCGCGAGGCTTTCCTGTACTGCCAACAATTACAAGAAATCAAGTAACGGAAGTTCCTTTCTATACAGATGCTGAATTAATTTGATTTGATAGAGCAGTGAATCTATGTGTGTTCTTACGAACATTAGAAAATTCACCAAAACCCCAGTGTAAAGTGTTCAGCACATTCGCATAACAAATATACTAAGATACCAGTCGGTGCAATCCATCGTCTACTATCATGGACATCATTTCTCTGCTATTTATTAAAGGGATTCTATAGTGTAAGGAATACAAAGCTGAATTCCTTACACTATACTTCCCTCTGGCCACCCCACGCTCGCCTCCCACCCTCCACCCAACATGGAAAGGGTTAAAATAACAAAACCTTTACTCATTTAGCCGATTTTATCACAGATTTGCCTCGGTGCTGGGTCGGTGCTCTGACTCCTCCTCCAACGTCGTTCGATGGGGGGCTGAAGCACAGGCACTCCCCATATAAAAGCATTGCTTTAATACTTTCCTATGAGGATTTTATTGACGCTGGATGTCCTCATGCAGAGCGTCAGTTAGGCGACCAATATTCGGTTAGCCACCAGGAAGTGCCTCTAGTGGCTGTCTGATTGATAGCAACTAGAGGCAGGCTTAGTCCTGCAATGTTTTGCATTACTGGGACACTGCATCCAGACTACTCCCAACAGTGCCGATTTCAGGGTCTTATCCCACCGTCCTGATTTTGTTTTGTGGTTTTTCACATATTGGGACACTAAGAAACTGTCCTTGAGCAGTACAGCACCAGCACATAATTACACACTGTAAACAGACAGTAGAACTATGCAGACAACCCTTCAGCAGTGCACCGTCCTGTGTGGAGGAGGCTAGCCAGGACGCAGTCTGTCAGCCTGCTGCTCATCACATAAGGCCATTGTGTACAATGCCACACAGTACCTGCAGAGTGCACAAGGCCACACAAGTGCACTTTACATAAACCAGTCTATATAAAGTAGCAGGAGGTGGGTACCAGCCATAATATTTAATAATTTCTGGAAACTAGGCTCAATTCATAACTGACATAACATTGTCTAATGATATATATCCTGCCCACTCTACAGATCTCCGTTTTATTGTTCTTATTTATGGTATGCACATTCTGAGCCAGCATCAATGTTGGGGGTCATTTTCTCGATAAAGAATTAGACTTGTCAACACGGCACAACCCTGACTGCGCAGCATGCCCAGTATGTGTGCTCTGAGAGCTGTACCGACTCAGATTTTCCCATATCAGCCCTTAGCAATGCAGTTCCAGATTCCCACCATGCTAAGCAGGTATAACACGTTTGATTGGCATGGTGTTTTTAATACAAACACACAATTCCCTCTGGTTATAATTGGTTTTAATCTGTGGTCACATCGGCATACATTATTTTTTATTCTATTTCTTCGGTACTTCCCATGCCCACCAGCTAGTTTTTTCAGAACCTTTATAGTTGTTTAACCAACATACATGATCTATAGCGTGTACAGCGCGGTTCATTAGCAGGAGCTGTCAACATATTGCAAATTGCAGAATAGGTACTTTCCTATATGGGTGCAGCCTCTAAAGTTAAGGAAGAGATTGAAAAGGGAATTTGTCCTTTATTTGTGTTGCAGAAGTTTAATAGCCCTATGCAACGCTTTCACTTCTTAAAGCAGGTAGCTGATCATTGCACCTTGGAGATAGTTCCATAAGCAGATATAGCCACACATACTGCATATCTGATATTCTATAGGTAGAGCTGCTTTAAAAAACAATAACCTGCTTAAATATCCTGTTATCAGTTGAATGGTTAAAAACCGTTTGTATTTAAGTTTAGCTCAACGTTACCGAATGACTTGGCAGATTACGACACAATACAGGGTTATTCACCAAAGTGAGAATTGTCTGGAATTCGAAGTGAATTTCAAATTTAAGGCCAAAATAGCCCTGCTGGAAAAATTCTCCAAGTCAAATATGCTTCCAGTTCGGATACTTTTGTCTTTAACCCCTTAAGGACACAGCTTCAGAAGCTTGACTTACGCTTAATGACACAAGCAATTTTTGCATTTTCTTGCTGTTTGCGTTCAACTGCAATTTGCATCTCTCTCATTTATTGCACCGACACATATTATATACTGTTTTTAAAGGACAGAAAGGGCTTTAATTTGATATAACATATATATATATAAATGCTTACTTATTATAAAAAAAATACAGAAAAATGCAAAAAAAATGAAAAATATTGGTTTTTTTTACAGTTTTTGCAATAATAATATGTGCATAATTAGTGCAGGTTAAGGAAAGTAATTAAAAATAAATTTATTTATTTGTTCTGATTTACAGAATATATAATGTGTCTGGGATTTTAAGTTTTTTTTGGTAGTTACAGGTCACAAAGCACAAGGAATAAAATAAACTTTTAATGTGGAGCGATTTTAGAATTTGGTATGTTTGTCTTGTAAGCTTAATAGCCATAAAAGAAAACAAAATTGCCACACAAAGTATATATTTATATAAAGTAGACATCACGGGCTATTTACCTAAGGTTGTTTTGACACTTTCTACGTAGCCATTTCACCGCCAACCTCTGCTAAATATTGGAGTAAAATTGTGTTCTTTTTGGTTTTTGGCACACAAACTTATAACAGAGAATTCTCGTGTATATTTTGTAAAGTTGGTGTGTGCTATTCCTGTACAAAGTTTTATTTTGTGTTCAGTTACATCTGCTGAGTAAAATGACACCCCCATTGTATGTCTTTTGCACTATTTCGTGAAGTTACAGTGCCATACAGGATACCTGTCCTTTTCAGTATTCACAGTAGAATTTTGAGAGATGAATTTAATGAGCCGTAGCTTCCATTTGGGGTATTATAACAGTTTGACTGTTCAAAAAAACCCCACAAAGGCCTACCATTTGTAAAAGTAGACACTCCAGGGTATCTTATAAGGTGCATATTGTGCCTTAACATGCCCCCATTTTTTCACCAATATATGCCAAAGTATGTGGTAAAAAAATAATTTTGTGCATTTTTTACATACGGATTGCATTTTTGCTGGGCGTTTTGTATATTTCATATGTGCCACTAAGTTCAAACGCCCCAAATTATGCTCAGCTAAGTCTTCTGAGTAAAATGACACCCCATATGAATGTCTTTGGCACTATTTCGTGAAGCTACAGTGCCATATAGGAGACCTGTCCTTTACAGGATTCACAGTAGAATTTTGAGAGATGGATTTAATGAGCCTTAGCTTCCATTTGGGGTATTATAACAGTTTGACTGTTCAAAAAACCCCCACAAAGGCCTACCATTTGTATAAGGAGACACTCCAGGGTATCTTATAAGGTGCATATTGTGCCTTAACATACCCCCATTTTTTCACCAATATATTCCAAAGTATGTGGTAAAAAATTATTTTGTGCATTTTTTACATACGGATTGCATTTTTGCTGGGCGTTTTGTATATTTCATATGTGCCACTAAGTTCAAACCTCCCAAATTATGCTCAGCTAAGTCTTCTGAGTAAAAAGACACCCCCAATAAATGTCTTTGGCACTATTTCGTGAAGCTACAGTGCCATATAGGAGACCAAGCCATATCCGTTTTTACCAAACTTTGAATTTTGACGCTGGGCCTATGTGCAATTTCCAAGCATCTTCACAGGTTTTAAATTCAAACTACCCCACAAAGGCCTACCATTTCTTAAGTAGACACCCCAGGGTGTTTCAAAAGGTATAGTTTGAACCTTAGCGTGGGATCATTTTTCCGCTAGCTTGTACCAGATGTAGTGGTAATAAGCGTTTTTTCTGCCTTTTTGACATACAAAG